AAACAGAAATTCGTCTTTTTGTTTCACAAGTGTTTAAAGCCAAATGCCCTATAGTCAGTTTGTCAGTTTGCTTCATCCAAAACCAAACCATTAAATCGTTAAGTCTTAGTTTAAAATATTAAAAATTTGGTTCTGAACTCATAATTCCTTTAATTCTTGAAAAAGTACTGTAACAAATGTGCTAAGCCTTTTCCATTTAAGGTTAAGGAAAAATAACTAATATCTAGAGGGCTAATCATTCCAATTTGTAAAAAGCATAGAAGCATAAAAGGTATGTGAATCAAATTCCCTGTTTTGGTTTGAGTTTAAATCTCCGTATTAAGTTAAAAGGTGTTGAATGCTTGAAAGCTTTGACCTTGCCTGGGGAAGAGGACAGCTTAGTCTTTTCTTGGACAGAGCTAAGCACCAGTCATCGAATCAATAGATGTAGCAGATGTAGCAAATGGAGAAAGAGCATGCCAGATAACACAGACCACACAAGACCAGCATCTGAACTCTTCCCGTCTCCCATGTTCAATTCCTTCCATAACTGATCGTTTATTCCATGGAAGGTCTTTAATCTTTTATGAGTAGGCTCTTTTTTTTTCTTTCTGACTATAGATTAAAAAATGGATTTTTCTTTTTTTCAATATTGATTCCAAATTCTTAAATAGATATAAAACACAAATTAACATAATCAATCTCCATGGTGTCAGTATTAATAAACAGAAGCCAGGAATCATATTCATAGGGCAAACTTGTTGAATACTTGCATGTTTTTGTTCTGAATATTCTAATCATAAAACATTACAAATATAAGTCATGTTCAATGTCACATATATTTATACTTCAATACAGTCAATATTATGCTAAATACATATAATATGCAATGCATAACATAAACCTGTATTGTATTATTGTAAAGCACATCTAGGATCTAAGACTAATGGCAGTGCTTATGCCAAACTCCACTGTAAGTTCTCCTACACTTAATCTTCACACACCCAAAAGGGAAGAAAGAAAAACAATTGAGAAAAAGCAGAATTGCAAATTTAATCTAGTCCTCAAGTCTGCTGAACTCTGTTATCTCCGTATCTTTGCAATAACATTTGCTATCACAGTCACCTTCGTGTGTTCACAGGAATCAGACCCACTTTGAGTCCCTTAACTTATTTCTCTGCATCTCAACCTGGTGACTTCCCCCTCTGTCTTTCTTTCTCTGGGTCATCCCCTAAAATACCTTCTCAGCACTTAATCTATCAAGTTGCTGGATGTCTCCTTTTAAAAGGAAAGCTGTGTTTGGGAGGAAAAAAACTGTGAGTAATTTGAAACAAGTGTATATGATTACATTAACAAGTAACTGTCTTTAAAACCTCATAGTGAGTTTCCTCTACAGTTTGTAAATTCACACACGTAGTAAGTCCTTTACTGAGTATGTAGAATGACTTTGGATAGTAACTTGTGTTGGTGGCAAAAGTTCTATTAAGAGATGAGAGAGGAAAGAGTGGAAGATAGATAGATAGATAGATAGATAGATAGATAGATAGATAGATAGATAGATAGATATTCATTTTTTGGATTAAGTAAATGTGGTACAAAATTGAATTAAGAAACCAGTGACAATAATTTCCCCTAGCAGAATGTTTCCTTGATCTTTTTACTTCCATTACTTTCAAATGTTAGCTGCCCCAGATGCTTCTCTAAAATTTCCATCTATGCTCCATTTAAACTCTTCTGACTTTAGTCTCATAAAGATACTGAAATTTGTCTGGCCAAGGCCACTATGTCTCCTCCAATTTTAAAACATTCGCTTAATTTGATTCTCTCAAATAGTGCATTGATTTATTCTACTCCCCAACCCCATATATAGGTCATTTTCTTGGGTTTCATTTGATCATATTTTCTTATCTTATGAGTACAATAAATACTCATTTACTATCTACAGTAGGTTACCCACTACTTGAGAAACTAGAGATAACAAACCAAATATGTACTCATTTACAAGTTACTGATGTATAGTATCTATATCAATTGTATACTAAAACCTACTCATGGAATTACCCCTCCCATCTATAAACAATTTATATTTATTTATTTAAATAATAGATTAATCTTAATGATATAAACATCTGCTTTTAGTCACATTACTACCAATCATTTTGAGTTAGGCATACAGAGGTCTCAAACCCTAGATCTAACTAAAATACAACTCAAAGCCCTGGATTCACTATAGTTGCTAAGCATAACCAGTGGTAGATTACATTTACAAAACCCCAGTGTTGTATTTTAAACCCCAGTCTTCCATATCATAGTCATATTTCCATAAGTTGTTCTGGTGTTAAGACAGAAAGAGCACAGTAAGTTTTCAAATTACCTGAAGGGTCATTAGTAACTCCCTTATTCTCCCATTTTCTTGTTCAAACACCCTTAGTCTGCCTCCAGGAGATTATCTCATCTCTAATTACCATCTGCTTCTCCTTCTATTGGGTGGCCATGCCACATTGCAACAAGTATCCAAACTATCAGTCATTTCTTTTCTCACTTTTCTCAGCTCTATGTCTCTTATGCCATTACTGCTGTCATTCTTGAAGTCACTGAAGTTGGAAGATTATGGACTGTATTTCCTACTTAGCTCTGTGAGAGCAGTCAATATTGAAACACCTCAAGGTATTTTGAGGACATGGTCCATGTTATATTCATCACTCAATGCCCAAGAATGCTTATTGAGTGAAAAAAAAAAAACCACACAACTGGATGAATATATTAGAATTAAGGGGGATGTAAATGAATATTTTATAATTAAAGGCAGACTTGCTGGGAGTCACGTTGAGGACAAGCATATGGAGAAGAGAAGATGAGCAGAAGAGTAATCTTGGAAAAAGAAAGGGCATTTAAAATGTATCAATCTCGGGATGAGTCGATTACTAGATATAATAAAGATGTAAGGCTAAGTGTCAAACTGGAGGTAGAGCCCTCAGGAGACCAGTTGTCCTAATTCATGTGCACACACAGGCATGTGTGTCTTAGTTCCTGTTGCTCAGAAGTACATGAAAAGTTTCTTCTGTGAGTGACAGTTCTTGTCACTGTATTCATACCCTTTGGCCATTTGTGCTCTCACATTTTGCCTCAGGGAACACATTGCCTCATTTTCACACCTTGTGCTAGCCTTCAATATGCTTTATTAGCCAATTGATGGAGGAATGTTTTTCCCTGTGGTCCAGATCCTGAAACATCAAACTGGCATATTCGCACATCATTAAAGACTATACCATTACAGAAGTATGGCCAGGATGAGTCAGTTTTAAAAATAAATGCTATTGCATGTAGAACAATTTGAAATAGGCATTAATTTTTTAATAACTATTCTATATAGGAAAGGAAAGCTTTCCCGGCACACTGAGGCAAACACTAAGCTCTATTGTCCATGAGTAAAATTAAAATAATGTAGTCTCCATTCACTCCCTCCAGCATAATCTTCATCAAACAAGAGTAATTATTACAGTGTGTAATGTAGTATATATACACGTATGTGAGTTCTGTGATTGAATATAAAAATTTGAATCTTCTGTTCTTAATTACATTAACATTACAGCAATAGATTAAAGAATACTGAACCTTATATTTTGGCAAAATATAGTATGTCACATTGGGAACTTTAGTAATTTTTTTAATTGTAAACTTTCCCAAGTGCTTATTTCAATGTGACATTTTAATATTTTTTGGTGAGGAGAGTACTAGGGGTTGGCCCCAAGGGCTTGCAAATGTAAGACGAGCATGTTTCCACTGAGCTAAATCCCAACCTACAAAACTGTATTGTGGTCTGAAACTAAGGCTCTTAATTTTCTGCTGGCCAATTTACATCTTTAGAAATAATTAAAGATTTCTGATGGAACTTTATCAGGTACAGCACAAATGTGACTGTGGAGAAGTCACCAATAATATGTCTGAAATGTAGGGTTTTTTTTTTTTTCCTTTTCTTACAGGATAGACCTGTCCATCCTACTGACATTTTGAACCGTATCAGATATACATTTCTTTAAGATGTATGTAATTTCCACTTACCATGGCTTTCCTCTTGTTTTTCAGGTATTTTGCAATATGGATGTGAATGGGGGAGGCTGGACTGTAATACAACACCGTGAAGATGGCAGCCTGGATTTCCAAAGGGGCTGGAAAGAATATAAAATGGTAAGATGGAAAAACTTACAGTGCTTTCTGATGTTTTATCATAAGGTTATCTTAACCCGCAATATATGATAAACCCTGACCTTCTAGATGCCTTTGAGTTATTTAAAAATAACAGTTCTTACATTAAAGACATTATTTTCATTAGACACAAAATGCTCATAAATCATGTTCAGGAAATTACTTCCCTATGTGTAATAGAAAGAAGAATGCATTATTATAATCATTTGGTGATCATCTATTAGGCACTATCTGCATTTGTTCCTAGTGGGAGAAACTCGAACCCCAGCCCAGGCTGGGTACAGGAACAGGACAGGAAGCTGTGTACTATCACAGGTCACGGAGAAGGGGGATACTACCTAACTGAGGCCTCTCTTGCATTACTTCAAGTTAGTGTTGACCTCTGAGTCGGAGAGGCTCTATATAAACCTTTGCATGTGACTAGCTTGGACGACCCAGGATGGCCAGGTTTCTCATGTCAAAGCCAACATTAAGTGCGGAAGTGAGTACTTAGAGCTTAAGGGAAGAACTCTTCCTTTATGAAGTGGTTCTCATTATTTTACATTAAAATCTCTGGGTAATTCTTGATTTGACTTGCTGACAATTCTTCTCCCCAAAAGTGAAAGGTAGAAGGTGATCAGAATGTCCAGTTAGCCAAACTTACGTCTCGATTATCTTAGCAAACAATGCAAAAAATTGTGGTTGGTTAGTCACAGCCTACCCATTAAGTTCATGATTAACAACACTAAGCGAAGGGTTTGAGGAAACATATGGGGTCTCTTGTGCTGTCACTGTACCTATGGCATTTTCAAGAGAAACTCGATGAGCATTCTGAATGCAAGCTAGTTAGTAGGGTGAAGTCACACAAATTTGAAATGCAGACTTTACAAACTCATGAACATCACATAGAAAAATAGACCAGAGTGAACAAAATAGCGTTCTACAGATAGCTGTGTGATTTTGGCAAGAATCAAATAAACAAAAAAATCAGGGAAAAGAGAAGGTAAAGGTGGCGACTTGAATGTAAGTTGAAGACATTTCATTGTGAGCTCAGTCTGTGTTGTCTGCTGTGAACAACCAAGAATTAACACAGAGTACATCAGTCGTAAACTGTAAGTCACAAACACTCATAGTTCAGCAGGGTC